ATATATTTATTTATTGTTTCTAGATAAAAAATCAATAAATGTTTCGTAGGGTATAAAAAGAATCGCAAATTTTTCCCTATTTTGAAAAAAACCCTCCTTGCTTGTTTTGTTTTTTCATTATTTAGAGCAACATTTCTGTTGTTCAGTTCAATGTTGTTTAGTTATACCTTTTTAGGTCATTGTCTCCCTTACCCCAGCATTTATTAAGGGTTGCTATTGATGAAATACTTCATTAAATCTATTTCATGAATGAGGAGTCCTCGGGTATTGTGACTGGGTGTTCTACCTTCAAAATCAACTATGCTTGGTCCCGTAAGTCATACAACATTTCAGTTGAGAGGCGATACGGTATTGTGAAAAAATGTGTAGGCCTCACGATCGGTCAATCTGACTCGAGAAGCAAGGGCTGGAGATGAAGGGAAATAACCGAGGAAAAGGCTCGACCACCACAAGTACTAAAACAAGAACGCCCATATCTCCAGCTCAAAATGGTCGATTTTTTTTTCTTTTTGTTTTTGTTCTGGATTGTTTTTGAGTTTGTTTTTGTGTTTTTTTGCTGTCGTTTGTTTGTTTTTTGTTTGCTTTTTGTTTGTTGCTTTTTCTGTTTTTTTCTATTTTGTTTTTTTTTGGCGTTAACTGCGCTCGAAACTGCATTATGTCATACGCTGTTAGATCTTACCTACCCTAAGATCAGGGGTGTGGCTGAAAGACAGCAGTAAGAATGGGCCAAGGAGTAGCAGTAGAAAGGCTGCAGAAACAGTTTGATGCCCAGAGGAGGGGGCAAAGGGGGTCGGGGTGGGGGCAGAAAGTGAAGACGAAGGCAGACGACAGAACATGGCTAGATGTGGAAAGGTGGTGAAAGGAGACACATTTACAGATGAAAAACTTTCCGTCGCTGCCAGGATTTGAAGCCGGGACCTATTGAATGAAAGGCGAACATCGAACCTCCAGACCACGAGAGCACCCGATGGTGGTAGATGTGCTACCGAGAGACAGAGAAAGAGAGAGACAAACAAACAAACAAACAAACAAACACACACACAGCGAAAGAGAGAGAGACAAAGACTGACAGACAGACAGGTCCACAGAGAGATAGATAGAGAGATAGAGAGAGAGAGAGAGAGAGAGAGAGAGGTGGACAGAGAGAGAAAGAAAGAGGGAGAAAGGCAGGGAGAAAAGGACAGAGAGAGAAAGATAGAGAGAGAAAGACAGAGAGAGAGAGAAAGACAGAGAGAGAGAGAAAGATAGAGAGAGAAAGACACAGAGAGAGAGAAAGACAGAGAGAGAGAGAGAGAGAGAGAGAGAGAGAGAGCGAGAGAGAGACGAGAGAGACAGACAGAGAGACAGACAAA